CACAGCAGGAGAGCCCCGTTGGCGTCAGCAATCTCCCTGAACTTGGCGTAGTCCCACTCGCGGGGGTACGCAGACCCGCCGCAGATCACCATGGCGGGCTTGAACAGGCCGGCCAGGCGGGCCAGGTCGTCGTGGTCGATCAGACCCGTGTCCGGGTGAACGCTGGAGACAAACAACAACATCAGTAAAAAAAAAACGCGCGAAGGGCGGAGCGGGGCAACATTTTCCATCAAACGCAACTTCGGGGTCCCTGCAAATTGAAGTCATGGACGGGACTGCTGTGCCGCCCTAAGCCCACGCAGCTACCGCACCCCCTTTACCGCTGCCTCTCCTTCCTTGCAGCGGTGTCCACCGCCTTCAAGGCGAAGAGTAAACGACTCAAAACGGGTGGGTGGCCCACGCAGCGAATCCCCGCAACACCCCAACCAAGCACGTCAGATTCTCGGCCCTCGGGGCGAAGATGACCCCACAACAGGACCTCCCTTCCCGCCCCTCTTCACCCGATCAACCCTACACACAGCCAAAACATGACAAAAAAAATAACAAACAAACTGTACAACAAAACGCCTCTCACCGGTAGGGCAACGACTCGAAGTACACCGAGGTCGCGGACACTGCCTTCCTGGTGCCCTCCTTCTTGGAGTAGGTGTAGAACCCGTGAGTCAGGTGTCCGCCCGAGGGCAGGTCGAGCCCCATGATGCGGTCGTGCGGCCTCAGGAGGGCCGTGTACGCGGCGAAGTTCGCCGGAGAGCCGCTGTTGGATGTTTTTTGTCATCGTTTTTTTTTGTCAGAGCGAACCCGTGCACACGAGCACGCGCGGAAAATACTCAACACGAGATTCAACAGCAGTAGCACGAAAAAAATAAAAACACCGCAAGCACGTACGTCGGATGAATACGATTCGTGTTCGTTGCGGCCACATACAGAATCGATACAGAGACGACGCCCTGACTGACATGAGCAGGATTTCCAAGCGAAGAGGGTGAAGAGCACTTGTTACAATTAGTGCTGTCACACATCTATTTACCCTCGGTTCTTAAATGTGCACGCCATGCGGTGTCGCCCACGTTTGTGGCAGGGATGATGCGCTTACTGCCATCGACCCCGGCAAATTCATTCGGGCAACAACACATGCGTTGCTATCTCACACTGATCGGTCCAAGAACCCATTCAAAACTCCGGCTCGCCAAGGGTGAATCAAACATATCTCGAGCCGAGCGCGCCGCACGAGGAAGAAAACGCCGTCGAAAAGCACACGACGATAAACTACTAATATGAACTCCCCCTCATCCCCGAGACTCTCCGGCTTGAGACCACCACGCCCGAGGTGTGCATGAACGAGGTAGGGGACCAACTGAAAATCATCACGAAACGGCAAAAGCAAACACCCACGCCAAAAAAAAACAGCACGAAAAACCCAACGCATGCTGTACTGAACCTGTAGGGCTGCACGTTGACCCCCCACTTCTCCGGGTCCAAGCCGTACGCCTCGAGAGCGCGCGACTGGCATAGGCCCTCGATCTGGTCCACAACCTGGTTGCCGCCGTAGTACCGCGCCCCCGGGACTCCCTCCGCGTACTGCCACATCAAATCGGCAACCACAAAAAAAAAAGAAAAAAGGGAGGGGTGAGATACTCACCGTTAGCTGAACAGCTCCAAGAGAAGAGATAGGGCGGACTGCCGACCACCGCCACTGCTCTCGCATACCGGATTCACACATGCTACGAGTGACGACGATGGAGTCGTGATCTCTCAACAAGCACAAGCGGAAGCTGTAGGGGAGAGTGTGGTCGTCGCTGTGGTACTTGGGGGCAGTTGTGCTGGCTTCACCAGGTGTAGAAACCGAAAGCACCAAGGAAACAGACTTGACGGCAACATTTGGCTGTTTGTGAGGAATTCCATCTACCTGAGAACGTGGCGCGGGTGGTTCAACCATTGCGATAGCGAATCGTTTTGCACAACCATACAAGACTACAATTTTTCCCAGACAAGAATGCCGGTAAGGACATGGCACCGATTGGTCGGTTCGCCCGTGGTTCTACGCAGGTTGAACGCGATCGTCTCAAAAACCTGAACGTACTTCAAAACTGCAAACATGAGCTTCACCGTCCACCAGAAAAACAATCCGCATGATTTGTGCCATGCGGTGCGATGCCTCCGCAACCTTGTGCATGCATTGAATTGCACATCACGCCCCGCACCTTGTTGGTGAGAGCCGAGCCCAGGCAGTCCATCACAGCCCTGGACGTGAAGTTCTCGCTGGCGATCAGCTCCAAGCTGGACCATTGCCGGGTCTGGAACGCACGGCAACGACGATGTTAATATCGGAAAGCTCATGTATCGGCGTGGCCTGCCAAACTTCAACACAATCAACCCCTTGGTTGCATGCATCCTGATCGACTGTATTGCTTTGCTCTTGTGCGCAGCGTTGCACCCAAAACTGTTGCTCCTATTTAGAGAGGACTGCTGTGGTGATCAGGACGCTATGGGATCCGTCGCATCACGATAGCAAGCCTTGTACAGGCCCTTGCTTTCTACGCCACGTTTTTTCAGTTTGCACGTAGTATATGCATGGTTCTCCCCGGCAAGAATGACCAGCGCTCATGCGCGTTTTAAGATCGAACACCTACTGCATTCGCTACCCTAGTGATCCCCCCATCTATCTCAACGGGGAATTCAGAGTCATCAAGTATCATCAGGTTTACACCATAAATAGATATGGATCGGATGAACGTGAGATCAGCCGCCGGGGGTTATCCGGAGGCGTAGGCGGTAGTGGTACGATGTACAGGTCAGTTAAATCATCCACACAACGAGTGAGGTTCTTTACGTGTCGAGTATATTGTATAGGGCTCCTGGATGTTTCGCTGGAAAATCATGTGTTGTAGAAGTACACAGCAGGGCTCGCGTTGCCATCCATAACTAACGTACTTGCAGATCGAAAAAACGAGGGTGTCCAAGAGGACACAAGAAAGGAGTATAGCTCGCGGATCATGAGGAGCAGGGAAAGGGAGAGAGGCAGACAGAGAGACAGACAACACGCCATATGCGACACCCCGTACACATCACCCAGCACCCTTGTGGTGATCACCAGCTGGTACCAGCTGGTGATCCGCCAATCCGAATACTCTTGAGCAAGTGAGCAACTTCACTACATCGGCCAAGTTTCGCTGCGTGCTCAAACGTTGCCATTGTTGACTGCCATTTTTGGGGAGTGTCGATCCCACATAGACAAAAGCCTCGTAGCTCAGCTCCAACAGGCTAACAATGTAGCATCATCAGCAGCAAGACGGAACCAATGTCGGTGAGATTTGTTTAGCACTTAGTAGGAGATCGGCACGTTGCAAAAAACGAACATGACACGGTGCACGGACCTCTTCGGCCTCGCGGTCTGCGACACATGCACTGCCACATGCAGCTACCCGCAAAGAGCTCAAACGATTACGACTCTACACGACTTGCGGGCCTTGTTTCAAATTATCTCGCGGCCTCTCCCTTGGATCTCTGGTGTACACACGCCCGATCACAGCAGCCAAGCAAACCGGGGAATGTGCCGACGCGCGCCGTCAACCAATCAGCACCGAGCATGGCCCACGAATAATTCAAACCCCTTTGGCAGCAAAATTCTAAATGCCACGTCGGGGAGAAGGATCTCTTCACCGCAGAAGGTATGAAAACATCAACCCGTCCAAGCCGGACAAATTCCAAGCTGCTGTGTGCGGCGGGTAGATACAATGATCAGCTTATGATCCTTAGACAGGTGTTTATGGTGGTTCGCTGCCCGAGGTGACTCTGTCTCGGATGTGTGTGTATGAGAAAAGGATCAAACAGCAGCATGCATGCGTGTTCAACTCTGACTAAAGCTGTGCAAACACGACCGGGTGTTGATGACGGATGGAAGCACGCGCCTCCACCGCTGCTGTCCCCCTTTCCTCCCGTCTTGCTTGTACCATCAATGGGAACCTAAACCCACAAACATGTCTAAGGCCAGAGTTGCACACACGCGACTCATGGACGTGCCCAACGCCGCAAGCTGCTGCCTTTGAAAGCACACCTTCTCCTTCTCGATGAGGTCGAACATAGCCGGATCATGGTCGGCCAGGGACACGTTTCCGGGAAGAGTCGAGGGTACTTCCGTTGTCGACATCTTGTTTGTTCGTTGAGCCTACGACAGCGAGTAGAGAGGGCCGAGACACCGGAGAGCAACACGAGAGAGTGGAGAGCTGGTGCAGCTGGGCTGGCGCAGAAACCAGCGAGGACCTGCAACCCCCCTTCATAGGAAATTACCATAATTTTTTATCCGCGGAGCCACCAAAAAACGAAATTACATTCCAGCTTCCGTGGAACACCCTAGGGATGCGGGGATTTTCAGGAATGTCAGTATCAGCCAATAGAGATTGACCAAGGTGCTGACGTGCATGCATGGCACTTCTCCTCAGCCAGCAGGCAGGTGAAGCAGGTCACGGAGGGGTATGCACGTATGCACAACTTTTGTTCCTGGATTCTCTCTCGCTCACGGGCGGACAGCACACACGCGCACACGCACACGCCGCGCAAGGAATAAGCAAAGCACGACGGGCCTAGAGAGGCGTTTACAGCAGTTTCCAAGTCGTACCGGGTTACCAAGCGGATGGACGCAAAGGTGAACATTGGTGCTGATACAAACTTGTGTTCGGTTTGTTGAAATGTCAACGTCCCGGTCAAGACACACCGCAAGCAGCGGTGATGAAAAGAGGTACACCGCACAACCTTCGCGGTAGCTTTGTCAGATGTGGGCTTGACCCAAGCATATGGTCACGGGTCAAGGGGCCCAGGGCATTTTGTGTGTTGCTCCAGTTGGTCACACGACACTGCTGTACGTACTGAACTGCTACGGACCTGCACTTTACCGAAGTTCCACGCTTGCTTCGGATCCAAACTTCCTCATCACACTCTAGAGTGTACCAATATCCTGCTGCCATCCCTTCCGCACTTCGCGTCCACAGCAGCAGGGCTCGGTAATGGCCGCGGATCGAAACGCCGAAGAACACCAGCTTTTCGACCCAGTCATGACTTGCGGACAAGTTGTGTCGACGGACACTACTAACAAGGTGAATTTGGCGGACGAGGCTCTGTACCGCCACTACCCACCGGTGAACCCTAGCAGCAGCGGCGCTGCCAGCGGGGGCGGAAGCATCCTCGACGCCGCGAACGCGTACACCTTCGAGACTCTCAACCGAAAGCTCGCCAGCACGTGGTGCTCCCCATCTCTCCCCTCCTCTTCCGCGGCAACCTCGTGCTGCCCTCCCCAAGACCCCACGACCAACAACAACAACAACGCAATGAAGTGCCTCACCGACAACTCAGGCAACGCCGCCGCCGGCAACACCACCACCACCACCACCCGCTCGCCTACACCGGCTGCGGGGGGGATACCACCGACGTCTCGGCTCCGCGGCGGCGGCGGTGGCGCCGAATGCAGACCGGGAGCGGCCCCGACCTCGCAGCTGCTGTTCCTCGTTCGCCACGGGGAGACGGACATGAACAAGGCCGGGAGGTTGCAGGGGCGCGGCGTGAACGCGCCCCTCAACGGCGCCGGCCTGGATCAAGCGCAGGGCCTGGGGCGGTTTGTCCGAAACGTTCCGTTCGACACGGTCACCTCCAGCTCGCTGCTCCGGGCACACGAGGTGTGACACGCAGCAGTAGATGTGCCGATGGGTGCCTTTTGATCGGTCGATTTTGGGAGCCGGGAGTAGTGATAGAGAAAATGGGTTCGCAAGCCCCCCCTCCCGTCACAGCCGTAGATGGCAGGTACCTGCAGTCTAGTGAACGCGGTAGACAGCAGGGGTCTGTGCCCGGTTTTGATAAACCGACACTGATATCTACGTGCTTTGAAATAGTTGTTAGCGATGGTTTCGGTGCCATGTTTATTTGGTCTGCTGAAGTCGCAGCTGCTTGACTTGGGGCTGGCAGATCTACACGTATGTCCTACATTTGATTGTTGTGGTTTCCCCACCTCCCCCCTTCCCCTCCTCTCTCTTCCTGCCTCATACAACTCCCTCTCTCTCCCTCTCTTTCTGGAACCATAGAGCATGAACGATTTGCCTCAGAGGTGTACTAGAATGGCAAATATTAGTCCCATGTGGAAGTGTTCCGCAGGCGGTGCCGGTCTTGCCTCGTCGCCTCGTTGTCGAAACACCTTCTACCTGGATGCTCACGAACCCGGGATGCCTTATTGATGGCTTTCTTCATGACTTTCAACGATCAAGAGAGCTACGTGAACCTAGTTCTACCTCCAGTGGCAATCCGCACACATCATGTATTAACTTTTTTGTGATATAACAAAAAAATACAAAACTTTCGCCTCCGACGGCATTATGCTTGTGGTTCGGCAGACGGCGATGCGAATCGCGGAGAACAACGAGATGTGCCTGAAACTGGCGCAGGAGAATGACCCGGTTCCTCCTGTTCCCCCATCGACATCGACGAAGGAGCAAGAGGGAGAGAAGACCACGCCCGCCGACTTCTGCTGCGGCGACAAGGCTCAGGTATTCACCGTGGATGCCGTAGATGTCGTAGATGTCTCGCTCGACGGTGGTTGAAGACAGGTTTCCCTGGCTCCGTACCTTGCGCTCGCCTGTACGTGGTTCGAAGAGTCCAGCATGTGGAAGCACATGTTGCTGTTGTTTTTTGGTGCTGGAAGACTTGAGAATCGTGTCCCCGCAGTGGGGAGGCGATGATGACTCCGGCGACGCGCGTAGTAATGTGGCGTGAGATGTTTCCAGTGTTGTGGTTTCAACCACAACAGATTGTGTCTGGTGTTCAGACTAACCCGAATTGCGGTCTGAATGGAGCGAGCGATGAGAGTGCGGGAAGCCGCCGCGTATATACCCCTGCGACGCTCGGTGCGGCGCCTGACAGCTCCAGCCTCACCGAAGACATGGAAAATAGGTATATCTACGGCTACGCACGATCTCCTCCGTCTCCTTTCATTTGGCCGCGTCAAGATTCCGAGAGCCCCGCGTGCAGATTAATTGCTCGAACAGGTTGTCCCCAAGAAACGGCAACCCCGCGTTGTGCTTTGTGCTCAAACCCGGAATCGAGGAATCTAAAGGTCATAGGATCAACATGAGTCATTCTACATGCATGGCTATTTGCAGTTTTTACACCCTTCTCTATTCTCAGATACAAACTGGGCAACGGATCGGACGAAGACACGACGGGACATCTTATAACTGAAGAAGATGGAGACCTTTTTTGAAAATTATGCCTGCAATCAGGGAGAGGAACCCTTCTGTGTGACCACGGGTTGGAGTACACGGCAATAGTGCTGTGAGCGCCGATTCGAAGTGAAGGAAATGAAACAAACACAGAAAGACCACCCGTTCGGGAGAATACTGTACCACAGTCGAAGGGAATGTTTCACTCACGTCGGTTTGACTTTCACAGGTGCGCGTGCGAAGGTTGGAGGGCCTTGATGAGCTTTCTTGGGGCGAGCTCGAGGGGGAAGACTCCAAGCTGGAGCCGTTCAAAGGATGCCTCGCTGCGCTGAAGGAGGCCTGGGACGAAGGCGTGTTTGATCGGTGGGTGGTGTCCGCCTTGCCTACCACTTGCAACCAGCGGGCGCTCTTGGTCAGACTCCGCCGTTTTATGCACCCGGCCCCGATTTGTGTGTAAAGGGTTTCCTCTTTTGTTCTTGAACAACGTCTCGACCGGCCTACTGTGCAGTGTGAAGACTAGCAAAGAGTGTTTTATGAAGCTTGCCCTCTACGGGACAAAACTGGCGCCGCTTGTCCCATCCACTTGATGCTTTTACCCGCGCGACGATTCTTATAGAAGTATGATTTTCGCCTTCGTGCGTGCACAGAGCTGCCGAGGGCGGGGAGAACTTGGTGGAGGTGCAGGCTCGAGCCAGAGCGGCCGTGGAAACCATTCTAGACAGGGGGAAGGAGCTGAACCTCGTCGTTAGCCACGGCAGGTGAGAATATCGCGATCGGCGTCGAGACAACTTTGCTTTTTTCGGGCTTTATGGGTGGTTCTTTTGGGCGATAGTTTCTCCCGGTGCATCATGGCCGCAAGAGCGTTAACCAAGCTTCAGCCCGTGCTCCGTCGCGATCCCTCGAGTGTTGGATCTTGTATTTCTGTGTGCACATTTTGTTTGCCAGGCATCAAGGACGGAGCAATTGTTTCCGTTCCGCATCTCATATCCCGTGGCCGTGTGTCGTTTACCCGTACCATGTGCACACAACGTAGGACGCTGCGGATCCTGATGCTATCCCTCACGGGCCTCGGCATGGACCAGATGACCAACATGGGAAAGATCCCCAACTGCGGGACGTACATCCTGGAAGTCCGGCGATCAGGCCCGGCTGCGGCTCGATCCTACCGCCTCCTCCCTGCCCGACCTTCATGACTGGCTCTGGTCGCTTCTTGACCTTGGCCGCTCTTGCCGTGGCACCTTTGGGCATTGGTGACATTTCATTGCTATCTACCTCGGACTCTTGTTTGTGGAAGAGAGTGATTTTTGTTGTGTTCTTTGTAAAGAAACACGAAAGAAAAAATATCAGAGCGAGTGCCGCCGTAGCGACGGAAATCTTGACATGGTTGATATTGATACATACCTTGGTCAATTTTTGAGGTTTGGTATTGACATGTTTACACGAAACTCGTTTTTTTTGTTACGACAGGGCGACTTCAGCTGAGTAAAATGTCGATGGTACGCGTTAAGTTCATCACCCCTGTTGTGTAAACGGCCAACGGTTGTAGATACATGGTCTATGGTCGTGAAAATTGGTTTAGTGTTTTGTGTTCTCTCTGTGCTCATGTTCGTGGTCTGTCTGTCTTGTTAGACATGGACGGCGCTTCTTCGGTCTCCGTAGATACCTGCTGGGTGTTTGCGTCGACGCGGAGTCGCGCAAGGGTTGCAGACACAGTAGATGTGTGTTCGCTGAGCACCACCTTTTTAGGTCCGTCGGTAGCGCAAAATATAAAGCCGCTTCATAGGAGTCGCCTGCTGTTGTGCAGCAGTTCTAGTCTAACGCACCAGACTCTGTTAGCTAAAAAATGGGTATACTTGTCTCACAGTAGTAGTGCGGCGGGTAGTTGGGTCTAAGGTGTCTGTGGCGTGTCGCTCTCCGCCGCCGTTTTCGTTCTTCTCACGGAAGAATAGCACAACAGGATAGGGCGGATAGATAGCGTTCGGCGGTCGCACAGCACCTTCGCGCGCAGGCGTGCAGGGTGGCCGCGTGCTGTGCCGAATTTTTGTGCTCGGTCGTAGCACCGTTTTATAGTGCCACCAGTATGAGGAAATCATGGTGGCGCATACGTAGGCAGGTGTGTTGCAGTACAAGAGGTGTTTGTTTTAGTTGCTGGCTAACTAGTATTTTAGTGTGCAGTGTAGTGGAGTCTAGCTGGGTCGCTCCCCGCCGCCCATATTTCATTCTCGTCCTATGGAAGAAGAACGCACCACAGGGAAATACGGATTGCAGCCGTGGAGCACAATCCGCAGTGCTCACGGACATCGAACAGGCGGGTCGTGAGCTTTTGTACGTGGTGCTGTGCCACCAACGTCGTCAAACTGCATTCAGGGTTTGATATGCTGAGGGCGGGACACCGCACGAGTACTTCACTACTTCCATCGAAAACGCACTGTTGCATACCTGGTACCGGCTTGTATGCTTCTTCTGATTCATTCCTTCGTGAAGGAAATGACACAGCGGCGTGCAGGCCAAATTGTTGTACCTTAGCGACAGGGTTTGAAGGAATCCCTACAAGCTTGGTTCTATCGGTGTGTGTGTCCATGACTCGCAGTGCAGATCTGGCACACACCAGAGCGCACCGAGCGTGAGAAACATTTCGCGGCTCAAGCGTAGGTCTCCCAAAGACAACGTGTGTCGGCAAATCAAGACAATCTTCACAAGCAACAACATGTACATTATAAAAAAAAAAACCTAAGATTTCCCAAGTGCACCATGGACGTGCGAAGCAAGATTCTGGTATCTACGCCTCCAGGGACATCACGGCCAAGATGGGGAATCTATTCTCCCGAAATCCTCGACGATTTATTCTGGCAGTTTCAAGTTCCACGACGTGACGGAGAAACAAAGAAAAACGTATATTCCAGGGCAAAGGAACAAGGACACAAGGACAACCTCTCTCTGCTCGGGATTTCTGCAGGTTTCACATGACGCCGTGCTCCATCACCTGCCCAACCCCGGTTTCCAGGGGACTAAGCTTCGCGCGTGCCAAACGCGTCGCCGACGAACTGCAGCAGTAACTGTAGCCCGACTTACTCCTTGTCTATGCCCGAACTCAACGCCGACAAACTACAGTGACTGCTGTATCGGTCCAACTAGCCCGACTCAGTCCTAGTCCATCTCCGTGGAAATCACAATTTACACCATAGAAGGACATGGCAGTTGCTCTACGAAGCAAACAAGTAGCTGTGAACATGACACGCCAACGCCGCTGGGAAACCTTCGGTAATCCCGGCTCAGGACTGGCTGAACGGCATAACCGAAAGGGGATTATTCCTACACCAGCAAGCCGACATCCGTCAATACGGGTAAAACCTTCCCATTTCTTCCCTAGATGCAAAAACATCAAGACGGCGGGTGCCGCAAATCACATACGGAACTCAACAAATGCCGCAGTCTTGGCTTGTACTTTCTCTAGAGGGATATTTTAACCCAACAACAGCTGTGTTGGTTTTAAGTGTGGGACTCGTAACATAGCGATATCACGTACTGAGCTTCATTGATGCTTAGGTCAACCATAGTCTTGTTGACTCTCACGTTCTTTGGTGATGGGAACGCTCGTCTACGGCCGTTTCTCTCGGCCGTACAGTAGCAAAGTCCACCAATAAAATTGAACTTCTCAAACCAATCACTCAATGGTGGAGTGAGTTACAACGGCGGAAGAACGAGGGCACCATGCTTGGCACCTGGGCAAGAATGGCGATTGTCGTCGGGCTTCACCTACCGGTGGTTTGGTTTTCGCCTTCGGTGGCGAAACTTCCCCTGAACCGCAAAGCCACAACCAACCATCGCCACCATCGTCAACATTTCCTCGTTGTTAGTGCGCAACGCCCGGGGCTCGTCACGCAGCATTGTCGCTGCAGCTCGCGTCGACGGCGAAAGAGCCACCATTGCATTCCGCGTGCTTCTCAAACAACCCCCCCCAAGAGCAGCACCGTCGTACTTGATGCATGCGGCACGCCTCGATAAAAAAAACAGGGAAAACCAAAGACATGTGCCGTCGCCTTTCAAGCAGCAGCACCGTCGTACATGATACATGCGACACGCCCTGACCCACAAAAACAGGGAACACCAAAGGCACATGCGGTCGCCATTTCAGCGGGCGACCCGTGTAGCCGACGGCAACAGGCGTCGGTCGACGAAACAGGGTACAACCCCGCGACACAAAACAAGCAACACAACCCACAGAAACACAACAAAAACACATGCTCGTACATCTGAGCGACATCAGCACCGCCAGTTGGACATCTTCGCGTCCAGAACAGAAAACCGACGCTATCACCCCCGGACGGTCGCCATATTCGTCAGTCACGCTTCCGGATCGCTTGCTTCCCCTCCCCCGTCGTCCGAGTCGTCCAAATCGTCCTCCCCGAAAACGCTCGACGCCACGACTTCTACCACGTCGAATTCTTTCTCGAAGAACGGGAACAGCAGCAGCCTGCCGCCGGGTAACAAAATTCAGGAACAGAGCGTAGATACTGTAGAACGTGCGTGTGTTGACAGATAGTATACAATACTATACGAGCCTTTGTTTGTATCACAGCACAACGCTTTGAAACGCACGGAGATAGCAGTCGACTGGAAATCGCAGCCAGACGCGACCACATGCTTGGCTCAACATTCATCGTAATGGCCCGAAGAAAACAAAACCTCTGCCGGCGCCAAAAAGCCAAGTGGACACAGCGTGGCTCGTGAACACACCGCGCTCTTACTATCACTCGGATGCGATTCGAGAGACGGCTGGGGCCGCGGCAGCGCCGAGCCGGACATCCAAAGAAACATGTTCTACTGCTGTTGCGAAAACAGTGAGCCGTACTCCACAGACAGGGGGGGAGGTTGCACCCTCTCCGAAGGGGGATCTCGACAGCACACAGGAGCAATTTGATAGGCTGAAAGGAGCCAACCGGCGTCCGTCAAGCCATATCGTGCATCTCACCACCAGACGAGATCCGACTGGGTCATGCTCCCAATCCCCTTCCCAGGCTCGCCATCTGCAGTGTCCGGCTCCTTCTCGGGGCCCTTTGCTGACGCCGATGGTCGCGCGCCTGAGTCCTTCATTCGGACGTCCCCACCGTCATCGGAAGCGGAGTCGGAGTCCGAGTCCGACGTAGGGGGGTCTTCGGTGTGGAGGCCTAGCGCCCTTCCAAGAGCCGCCAACGCCGGTCCGTTCACGTCGCAGTCGAACACGTCCTCTTGGTCGTTACACGCGCTTCCTGGAAGAAAAAAAAAAGAAAGAACAGAACTGTCAATTTCCACAGCCGCGTTGCAAAAAGGTTGCTAGGGTTGTCGGCTTCCGTTTCACACCAAGAAACTTCCGTAGGGTCGATGCGAAACACCGAAGGGTGCCACTACAGAGAACATCGAGACAGGCAGATTCAAGTCAGAGAGAGAGAGAGAGGGAGAGAGGGAGAGAGGGAGAGAGAGAGAGAGAGAGAAAAAGAGAGATACTATTTAGCAACGTGCTCGGCATCTACCAGTTGGGCGGCCTGGCTCGTGTTGGACCATGCCGTGCCTGCTGCCCGTGACATAGGAGCTGCGGGAAAGAGCTTGCCAGTCTCACCTCCCTCCTCCTCCCCCTCCTCCTCATCGTCGTTGTCGTTGTCGTCGACGTCGTCGTCTCCCTTCTTCGGTTTGGGGGGGGGCATCACGCAGGCAGGGCCGTCTCCTCTCGCGTACACCAACGCCTGCAGCAGAGTTGCCGGCGCGTCGTACCCGATCCCTCCGCTGATGGAGTACGACACCAGCGTCCGGGGCTCGTAATCCAGCCCCTGGTACTCCGCAAAAACGCACAGACAGTCGGCACACACGGGAGGAGGGATGTGTCACGGCGTCGAGCCTGGCCGACAGAGGGTCGGACTTGCGGAGGAATACCGATTGATGTAGAATGTCGGGGAGGGAGGGAGGGACCGTGTCGATTC